TTGGTGCGCGCCTGGGATCCAAACTGGCGAACCCTGGGCCACTGCAGTGGAGCTCGCGCACTTAACCACTTGCCCCACCGGCCGGCCCCCAAGAAGGTGTTTTTAAAATTGATACTTCCCAATGTATGAGCTGCATATTAAGTGGATAAACTCCCTGTCACTTTAAGTGTTTAAACAAGGGCTGTATAATTCCATCAGTTGATGAGACATTAAACTAAATGACCATTCCAACTCAAAGATATTATAATTCTGGGGTCTCAGGCTTAGGATATAATACCTAGATCACTTTTAATATAAATGAAGACTGCTCAGCTATGGTATTTGTAATTTGTCATCTGTGATCATTTCCAAATATTTTGTTTGGATTTATTCAGAAGCAAAAGAAATGACTTCTTTGTATTTAAGGTCTTTGTTTCTTTTTAAACAGTTGGTGTCTCTTTACATTTTGGTCGATTTGAGAAAAGTGATTTTATTCATGAATTCAACTATTTATAAAAATCCCACTATATTCCAGGCACTCTGTGACATGGTTCATATCCTTGTAGAGTTTATGATTTAGAAGAAGAAATAAAAGAAGGCCTTATTTTGTTTTACATCTCAGACATTATATTCCAAATAATTATGACTCTGGCTAAAATTCTCCACAATTCATTCACTTATATGAGCATGGCAGGAATAGATCCTTTTCTTTTTCTATCTTGTTCTTCCCACATATCTTTTGTGAAGATCTGTTCAATATTTTTTTCCCTAACATTACTTTCTCTCTCACATATTTTCTGGCTCCTTTTTTCTTCTGCATGATGTCTTGTTTTCCTTCTTTCTCATGCAGAGAGCGGTATGTACAAATGCTTGACCAAATTGCCCGGCAGATGATTGACTTCTACAAAGACTTGGTAACTCAGCGAATGATGGACCAGCGCATTTTAGAAGAATTGTACAATTTTAAGAATGTTATTGAGGAACTGACCAGGTAAAAACTGAGTATCTTTAACCCAAAACAAAAGTCAAAGCCATGTCTCTAAAGAGAGTAAAAAATATTCAGGGAAAGCAGAGTGGTTAATGGTGAGGATTCTTTTGTTCCCTTTTCATGTTTAGCAAGAGAACAGAGGACTGGATATAGATGTCAGTATAGATGTAGAGACATGAGTTACACAGGTTAACACAAAACTAGGGCTCCGTGTATATATAGGGAAAAGACTCTTGTTCTTCCTTCCAAGATAGAGATGTTTATCTTAATCAGGTTTACAGAGCAATGCCGTGATTAGGATGTTATGGTTCAAATCCCAAAGAGAATAAGCATTATATTGCAATCAAGGTTAGTGATCATCTAACCTTGTGGCAAGATATTTAGTGGCAAAAATGAAGAGGATAGGATAGGCATGTCAGAGGGTAGGATAGAGCAGCCTGGAGGCCTTGCCTGTCAACATCTGCCTTCATGCCATTCTAGAGGATCCCCCACATCTTCTTTCTACCTTTTCTAGACAGATTTATTCCATTGCTGGAGCTGGCAAGATTCCACCTAAATGTACGCTGGATTTCTTGATTTGGTTTATAAGGTGGAAAAACTAGGAAGAGATGTACATGTGATAAGTGAGAAGATTCCTAAGTATAAATCTGATTTCCTGGGTAGAAACTTTTTGGAAGTCTTCAATTATGAATATAAAATTTCTTTGCTCTGTTTCAGGGAGCTGTGTCTGGTTCGGGCACATGATATGAAATTAACAAAGGAAGCAGAGAAGGCTCACAAGGATTTGGCACAAGCTCTTTTAGATGCTGAAAAGAATGCCAAGTGAGTTACCAAATGTTAGCATTATGTCATACTTGCTTCACATTTTATATTAAGAAACAAAATTTTATAGAAACATTTGAAGTTTTTTTATTACAACAGTGCCTAGAGGAGTTATTATATCTAATTTTCATTACATATTAATGAATACAGTTAATATACATAAAATTCATTACATATATTAACTCCTCCAGGCACTGTTGTAATACACATCTTGTAGATGTTTTCTTGATGTGAGAGTTTTCCTGGGGTGTATACCTAGGAGTAGGATTACAGGGTCATAGGATATGCACAGCCTTGTCTTGCTAGATATTGCCAAATAACTCCACAAAGTAGTTGTATCGGTATATCCTCTCATCAGAATATGCGAGTTCCCTTTTGCCCATATCTTTTATCAGTATGATGGGTATGAAAAGATCTCTGGTTTTTGTTTCCATTTTCCTAATTAGTAGTGTGAGTCTAGTTCTTTTTTAGATTTTAGTGAATCTATTATGGTCTTAGTGTTTTTATTCTATTTCAGGGGTTAGCAAACTTTTTCTTTAAAGGGCTAGATGGTGAGATATGGTTTTTGATACAACTACTCAGTCAACTCTGCTTTTGTAATGTGTGCCATTGTAGTGCAAAAGGAGCCAAGGACAACATGGCTATGTTCTAATAAAACTTTATTTATTGACACTGAAATTTGAATTTATAACATATTCATGTATCAAAAGCTGGTTATGATCAAATGACGCTTTGAGTAGCCCTCTAACTAGTTGCACTTTCCTATTGATTTCGTATTCTAGAACTGAGTTTGTAGAGTGCACTCGTTATTTCAGAAGTTGATGAACATTTGGATTGTCCTTGCACCTGAAGAATGTTTCCCAGTGTTCTCCGTCAGTATGCATCTAGATAGTAAATATGTGAGGGCATTACCTTTTTGAAAGAAGTGTAAAATATAACCAGTCACTAGACCTGGTTAGTTATAATTGTACCAAGGTGGCTTTATGAATTTATGTTCACATAATATAAAATCTGAATTGATGTAAACTATCGGTGCCCTCAAAATTTATTTAAAAAAATTCAAGCTTTTTGCTCTTCTGTAATATTTCTTCCCTTAGCACAAAATATTGGTTTCTAAGTGGTTTTGCTTCAAAGAATGCCTGGATCCTAGTGACCCCACTCTAAAGCCAAAAAAAAAAAAAATTCCAAGAGCAGTTCTTAGAGGAGTCAGAGGAAAATAGGAAGCAATCCCTCTGCTTGTTAATGGTATAATAATGTCTATTACTAGAAGGGCCCCCCTGAATTTAAACAAAGATACTTTTCCCCTTGGATTTTCTCCTACAGATAAATCTAAATGATTGACAATAAAAAATATTTTTATTCTATTGTTTTTTTCAACCATTAAAAAATATAAAAAAGTAAAATTGAATATGTAAAAAATTAAAAATGTAAAATTCTCAGCTCATGTACTATACAAAAAACAAGTGGTGGGCTGGATTTGACCCACAGGCTGTAGTTTGCAGACCTCTATTTCATTTTCTGTTATAATTTTATTTATTTACTTTTTTTCCCCCAAAGCCCCAGTAGATAGTTGTATGTCATAGCTGCACATCCTTCTAGTTGCTGTATGTGGGACGCAGCCTCAGCACGGCCGGAGAAGCGGTGCATCGGTGCGCGCCCAGGATCTGAACCCGGGCCGCCAGCAGCGGAGCGCGCGCACTTAACCGCTAAGCCACGGGGCCAGCCCCTCATTTTCTGTTAGACTAGAAGTTCTTGGGTGTATATCAAAAGATATATCTGATTGTATTTAAATTTTTTTTAATTTAATTGATTAAAAATAATATTATTAGGGGCCGGCCAGGTGGCGTAGTGCACCACCCCAGTGCTTTGGTGGCCTGGGGTTCGCAGGTTCGGATCCCGGGCATGGACCTATGCACCGCTTATCAAGCCATGCTGTGGCAGGCATCCCACATAAAATAGAGAAAGATGGGCACAGATGTTAGCTCAGGGCCAGTCTTCCTCAGCAAAAAGAGGAGGATTGGCAACAGATGTTAGCTCAGGGCTAATCTTCCTCTCTTTCACACACACACACAAACACACAAATTGTTATATTATCACAGAAGCGGTACCTGTGCCTTATAAGAAAATCAGAAAATACAGACAAGCAAAAATGAAGAAAAAAATCACAATCTCACCACCCATAGATTACTGCTGTAAATACCTTAGTATATATTCTTGTGGATTTGGTTTCTATGTACATGTGCACAGATGCATTTTTTAAACCAAAATTGTATTGTATATACTGTTATATCGCCTTTTTTTTTTTTTAGTCAACAATCTCTACCTAGTAAATTTTCACTTCATAGATTACCCAGGTCATATTCAAATTTTCTCAGTTATTCCTAATATATATTTTACATGGGTTGTCCAAACTAGTATCCAATCTAGGACCACATATTGCATCCTGTTTTATGTCCCTTTTAATCCAGCATAGTCCTCTGCTTTTTAAAAAATTTTGTTGAAGAGTAACTATATTTTTTAAATGTCAAGAAAAACACAAATGTATACAACATCTAAATTCAAAAATATATTTACTTTTATTCTATTTTATTCCTTCCTGGAATGAGAGGGGTACTTTGATCATTTTTTGCCCACTGAATATACTACTGTTTTCTGTAGCTGATTCACCTTCTTGTCTTGGTCTGTAACTGTTCTATACTTTGTCTTCTATCATCATGTCTCTAATACTATCTCTCCATCTTCTTTCTGATCCGATGACCTTGCTTTCTAAAAGGTGGAAGCAAACAGAAGAGAACTCAATCTCTTACCCCTACATCTAGCCACCCACTTGCATCTGTGCTCATACATTCTATTTTCCCTTCTCTTACTGGAGATGAACTGTTTCCTCCTTTTTAAGGCCAATCTCTCCATTTGTGTACTATTACATCCCCTCTTACCTACTCGAGGTATTTTCAGCAAATAATCCCCCTTTATCCTGTACCATTAATTTTTCCCTCTCCACCTGATTAGTCTCATCAGTATACAAATATACTATAACTACTCCCGTCTTAAAAACAACAACCAAAAAAAACCCTAAAAAGTCTCCCTAGTCTCTCAGGACCTCATCTCCCCTTCTAGCTATGGCCCCATTTCTCTGCTCCCCTTACAGTAAACTTCTTCAGAACGTTTTCGTACTCATTATCTCCATTACCTGTCCTCCCATTATCACTTGAACCCACTCCAGTCAGACTTTCACCTCCACCACTCCACCAAAATGCACCTGTCATTGCACGCACCAGTGATTGCTGGATGCTAAATCCAAAGGTCAAGTCTCAATTCTCGTTTCACTTGATTTACCAGCAGCATTTGTCGTAATTGACCAGTTCCCCTTACTTGAACCAATGTCTTTCAGCATATTATACTCTCCTAGTTTTCCTTCTACTTTGCTCTTGGCTCCTTCTTACTGATATCCCTTGCAGGTTCCTTTTCATCTCACCAATTTCTAAATATTGGAGTGCTCATTCCTTGGATTTTTCCTCTATCTATATTCAATTCCTAAGTGAATCCATTCAGTTTCCTGGCTTTAAATACCATCATCTCTATACTCTCAACTCACAAATTTATATATCCGGCTTCAATCTTCTCCCTGAATTCCAGACTTACATGTCCAATGGCCTTAACATTTCTACTTAGTTGCCTGACATTCCCAAACTGAATTCCTGTTTTTACCCTCAAACCTACTCCCTCCACACTCTTTTCCCATTTCAGTTAAAGGCAACTCCATCCTTCCAGTTTCTTCGGCGTCATCCTCGATCCCTTTCTTTCTCTCGCATCTCTCCGTTAGCAAATTCTATCAACTCTCCTTTCATTATATATGTAGAATCTTCACCACTTTCACTACTGCCATCTTCATCTCTTGCCTGGGATATTGCAGTAACCTCTGAATGGCCTTTTACTTCTGCCTTTACACTGCTATAGTCTATTCTCCACACACCACCCAATGTGATTTATGAAAACTTGACTCAAATAATGTCATTTCTCTGCTCAAAATTCTTCAGTACCTCTCCCTCTTACAGTAAAAGGCCATGCTTTTAAAAAATGTTTATAAGACTAATCCTACCAGAATTTCTCTGACTTCTCCTACTTTATTCTAGACATGCTTGCCTTTGTGCTGTTCCATGAACATACCAGGCAGGCTCCCACTTCAGGGCCTGGAATCCTCCTCCCCCAGATAGCTGTGTAGCTTCTTCCCTCCTTCCTTCAGACCTTTGCTCAAATGTCGTCTTCTCAGTAAGGTCTTTCCTGATCCCCCTATTTAAAATTGCAACATACTTTATACTCTTGATCCCTTTTCCCTGACTTATTTTTATCCATAGCACTATCACTACTTAATATATTGTTTTACTTTTTTGTTTATTATCTCTTCTGAAAAAACTTTATAAGGGAAAAGTTTTTTTGTTTTATTTCGTTTTGAACACTACCAGGCATATGGTAGGGACTAAACAGATATTTGTTGAATGAATTAAAAAAATAAACTAGAACTTCTTTTGTGCTAATGTCCATTATAAGAACAAAACGTCTTCTAAAGCCAGAGAGAAGGGGAAGGAAGGAGAGAAAGAAATCTCATTTTCTTTAAAAATTGATGGTTCTGAGGGCCAGCCAGGTGGCGCAAGTGGTTAAGTGCGCGTGCTCCGCTGTGGTGGCCCGGAGTTTGCAGGTTTGGATCCCGGGCGCGCACCGATGCACTGCTTGTCAAGCCATGCTGTGGCAGCGTTCCATATAAAGTAGAGGAAGATGGCCACAGATGTTAGCTCAGGGCCAATCTTCCTCAAAAAAAAAAAAAAAAAAAAATTGATGGTTCTGAATTGGGATAGTTCATTTTTTAATGTGTGATTAGAAATTTTTAGTAATACTTTATTCTGATTATTATTATTCATTATTACTGATTATTTTATTGAAAATTTGGAAAATACAGAAACATAAGGAAATAAAGAGCATCCATAATTCTTTCAGAGTTAACTACTATTAATATTTTGATATATTTTTCTTTTTCTACATATTTTTTATAAAAATGAGATCAACCTGAATATATAATTTTATCATTTGGGTTTTCTCATTTTATGTTATAACATGAAAAATTTTACCATGTACCAAAGTATTAAGAACATGATCTTTAATTAGCTGCAGAATATTTTCATCATAGAGCTACATCAGATATTTTATCTGGCCAATCCCTTGTTGTTGGACATTGAGGTTGTTTCTATTATAAACAAAGGTAATTAATTCCCTTTTTGATATTGAGGTTGTTTCAGACAGTAAAATGCACAAATCTTAAGGGTATACCTTGTTGAATTTTTATATGTGAATTCTCCTGGGTGACACCTAGAGTGATTAATTTTTTCTCAGTTGCCTTGAACAAGTGGAAGCTTCCAAATAGAAAGAGGCTTCAGGGCCGGCCCCGTGGCTTAGCGGTTAAGTGCATGCGCTCCGCTACTGGCGGCCTGGGTTCGGATCCCGGGGCGCACACCGACGCACTGCTTCTCCGGCCATGCTGGGGCTGCATCCCATATGCAGCAACTAGAAGGACGTGCAGCTATGACATACAACTATCTATTGGGGCTTTGGGAAGAAAAAGTGCAAAAAAAAAGGAGGAGGATTGGCAATAGATGTTAGCTCAGGGCTGATCTTCCTCAGAAGAAAAAAAAGAAAGAGGCTTCAGGAACTGACGCTGGTAGTTCCTTGCTTTCACCGAAATCAGAAGAATTCTACATCACTGGCCTTTAATTCTTAAAGCAAAGTTAATATTCCATAGGAGGAAGGGTTTCAAAAGCTTTGTGAAACGCTACCAGTTACTTTACAACTTTTGCATTTGTATTTAATCTTAGAAGGGCTTTTAATTCTAAGAGAAGTTTCAGTGTAAGTTAGAAGGAAAAGGCATGTTCTGGTAAACGTGAAGAAAAAATAGTTAAGAAAAAGGTACTTAATTATACTCAAGCTTTTGGTTGGTAGAGAATTTCTTTAAATCTCATATTAATTATATATGATTTAAAAATATAATGGCTCACAATTATTGAGCTTTGTGCCTTTAATAAAGAATCCTAATTCTATGAGAAAAAAGCTTAACAATAAAACTGCTATATTACTGCTACTTGTATTCTGAATTTTTCGTTAGATATAGTGTTGTTACACCGTTAAAATACCATTTTGTGAAAATTCTAGTGAATAAAGAATATGATGAAAAGTGTTTAGAGCAGGAAAAAATATATTGAACTTTTTACTTGAAGACTTTTGTAAGATTTATAAATCAAATGTGAATATTTTTTCTTCTATTTCACTGTATATTAGTGTTATTGATATATCCAGCAATTATACCATAATTACCTTATGATGAGTTTTAAAGGAACAAATTGCCTATTTTAGGACAATGTTCTTTTTCTGAAAAAATATGTCTCTATATAGCTGTTTCTTAATTTTTCTTCTAGAATTGTAGAAGAATACCATGACTTATATACGTTACAAAGAGGGAGGATGGAGAGTGATATTAAACAGTTAATGGCAGAAAGAGATATCTGGAGCTCAGCCACGTATGAATTGGCTCTAAAGGTTGGTTCATCTGGGATCATATCTCAGACTTCTTTTTTGGCTAGATAAAGTTTCATTTTATAATTTTCTTTCTTTTTTTAATTGAAGTATAATTGATATACAATATTATATTAGTTTCAGGTGTACAACATAGTGATTTGATATTTTATATGTTGCGAAATGATCACTGCGGTAAGTCTGGTCACCATCTGTTACCATACAACTTTATTACGATATTATTAACTATATTCCCTATGTTGTACATTATGTCTCTGTGACATATTTATTTTATAACTGGAAGCTTTTACCTCTTGATCCCCTTCACCTATTTTTTTTATTGGTGTCATAATAGTTTATAACATTGTGAAATTTCAGTTGTGCGTTATTATTTGTCAGTCACCGTATATATGTGCCCCTTTACCCCTCGTGCCCACGCCCCAAACTCCTACCCCTGTGGTAACCACTAATCTGTTCTCTTTGACCGTGTATTTGTTTATCTTCCACATATGAGTGAAATCATATGGTGTTTGTCTTTCTCTGTCTGGCTTATCTCACTTAACATAATACCCTCAAGTTCCATCCATGTTGTTGTCAATGGGATGATTTTGTCTTTTCTTATGGCTGAGTAGTATCCCATTGTGTATATATACCACATCTTCTTTATCCATTCATCAGTTGATGGGCATATAGGTTGCTTCCACGTCTTAGCAATTGTGCATAATGCTGCAATGAACATAGAGGTACATAAGTCTCTTTGAATTGTTGATTTCAAGTTCTTTGGATAAATACCCAGTAGTGGTATAGCTGGGTCCCCCTTCACCTATTTTGCCCATCCCCTTATCCGCCCCTCCCCTCTGGCAGCCACTAGTTTGTTCTCTATTTATGAGTCTGTTTCTGATTTATTATATTTGTTTGTTTGTTTTGTTTTTTAGATTCCACATATAAGTGAAATCATACAGTATTTGTCATTCTCTGTCTGACCTGTTTCACTTAGCATAATACCCTCTAGGTCCATCTATATTATTGGAAATGGCAAGATTTCATTCTTTTTTTATGGCCGAGTAATATTCCATTGTACATGTATACTACATCTTCTTTATCCATTTATCTATTGATGGACACTTAGGTTGCTACCATATCTTGGCTATTTTCAATAATCTAGACAAAAATTTTAAAAATGAAGATGTATATTTAATTGAGGAATAATGTAGCTATTATGGGCCTTGAAAAGGGAAGATTACATATTTTTCTTTTGTTTCTTCTCTCTTTGGTACCTGGCTCTTGCCCAGTCAATGGCTGTTTTTTTCAACAGAACCTCTGAAGTATGAACAAGAATTCTTTCTCTGTTGTTTGTGAACATGTTAGAATTTTCAACTTTGATTTATACTAATAATAAACTAGGAAAAGTGGTTCTTATTTTTTCACATAATGTAACTGTATTAGGATCACTGGATATCTCGCTTTGGTTCTATTAGGTTGGTACCCAAGATGACAAACGAATTGAAATACGGCAGCCTGTGGACCATTATAGTAATGCTTTAGGGAAATAGCAAAGTCCCACAATATTCTATTTTTCTAAAATGTTTGCTGGTTAGTTGCCTATTCTCACATCTGGGACTTATAGTATTAACAGCAAATTATGAACAGATTCAAATTTTTGTCCCATTTTCCTCTGGAATTGTCAGACCTCATCTGGGACACAATGTTCCATCCCGATGCAGAATTTTAAAAGGGACATTAACATGTCTGGAGGAAACAATCATGACAGTAAATATATAAGAAACAAGTCTGGGAGTTAGGCATGTTCAGTAGGAGAAAAAAAGAAGACAAGTGAGTTCCTTCCCTCTAGAAGTATTTAAACAGTAGAGAACTCATCCCTGGTAGAGGTTTCTGTACAAGAATACCTTGAATTGATGGGGCTTTGTGTTAGATCATCCCTGAAGTCCCTTCCAACAGGAAATGACAGCTAGAATGTCAATTCCCTGAAAATAAGGACTTTGTTTCTTTTGTTCATGGCTATATGCAGCATTTAGAATAGTCATTCATTGAATGACTGTATAATTAATTCAGTATATCAGTGGTTCTCAGAATGGTCCAAAGACCCTCTGGGGGTCCATAAGACCCTTCCATGAGGTCAAAACTAGTTTCATCCTAATACTAAGATGTTATTTGTCTTTTTCACTCTGATTTTCACATGAGTGTACAGTGAATTTTCCTTGAAGTTACATGATATGGATTTTGCAACAGATTGAATGCAGAAGCAAATATGAGACTCTGGCTCTATTCTATTAAGGCAGACATTAGATTTGTAAAAATGTAAAACGATGGTGCTCTTTTCACTAATTTTTTTTTTTGGAAAATATAGTTAATTTGTCATAAAAATACTCCTTATGTTAACATATAATGGGTTTATTAATGTTATGTTTAAGTGAATTAACAAATACATATTTTAAATAATTTTACGTTTAATTTCCAATACAGTAAAATCAATAGATATAATTTATATAAACAAAAGCTCTTTGGAGTCCATAATAATTTTTAAGAGTGTAGAGAGGTTTGAGATCAAATTGTTTGAGAACCTCTGCTACTATACTTGAATTTGCTTCTAGTTCATTAGTTTTAGAAAACATGAATTTATGGTTCAAGTTAATTCAGGATTTAAACAAGAAATTGTGATTGTGTTAATGATTCAATGAAAAATTGATATGTGAAACTGCTTTGGGTTTAATAAATTACAATGGTTTGGTAATGTTTTGGCTTCCTAATTTTAGTCCTGTTTTTTATAGGTAATTGAAAGAAATAGAGTCATATTGGCTAAAAGACTTTACCTCAATGAAAAAGGCTGGAGTAAATATACTACACATTTCATCATACTGCTGTCAACCAAGGTAAGGCTCAATTCACATAAGTTATGGGAAAAGAGACTCCAGTTCTTGAGGGTTGAGATTATAGGAAGGCTTTGCTAAATTTATAGATTAAATTTTAAATATAGTTTTATATTTGTGCTTTATGGTGGGTGGAATGAAAAATCTAAGGAAAGGCCAATACAGGCTCTTCTTTATATTTGTTTTCTATCCTAATTAAAGAAATTTATCTAAGTTAATAACACTGAAAATATTATTTATAGAGTTATCATTCTATTTATTAGTGCTTAAACTAAAAAACTGTAAGTAGCTGTGTTCATTGAAATAGTTACATTATCAATGTATTCTATGCAATTTTTTGGGAAAATTCACTGAGTACACTAGGTTGAAAAGGAGGGAAGTGGCATTTAGTGTGTTTCTAGAGTCAAACCATTTACTCTAGTCATTTCATTTAATTCTTATAACAATCCTGTGAGATATATATTAGGGTCTTTATTTCATGGATAAGAAAAATTAATCTCAAATAGATTAAATAACATCCCCCAAGGTTACACAGCCGGTAAATGGCTAGGATTCACATTTGGTTCCTTTTGGCTTTGAAATTCCTGTTCTTTCCAGTGTACTGCATTGCCTCCCATGAAAGTCCTATGGGGAAATTGGGCTCATGTTGCAAAGGAAAAAATCTTGTTCCTAATACTTTATGTACCATGGAAAATCCACCACCAAAGGGACTGTGTAGTAGTGTCACTGATGATATTTTGAAAGAGGAATATCTTTTCAATTTTTTGATCCATTTTCTATGGATGTCTCTAGGATTACAATATTAATAATGGTCTGGTGTATGCTAATAAGTATTTGTTATATGAGTAAATGAATAAGTGGTTTGATTCCATGTATTTTATCTAGGACACTGCAGACCTTGCACTGTTGCAGAAGTTGACACAGAAATGGAGAAACTTAGTGAATAAATTTAAGCAGGAAGTGGAACAAAATGAAGAGTCTACAAGGGAGAAATTGCAAATTGTTAAGGATGGCCTTATCAAATGGCAGCAATACTTCAGAAATAATAGGTGAGTCTCCGAGAATCTTGTTTTTCTGATTATACTATGTCATGTCTGATAACTCAGTCCAATTCTTCCTCTCTCTCTTTTTCTCTGTCTTTTACCTTGTAATTACTCGAACGTTGATTTTGGTGAGGTAACCAGCAGCCCTTACAAGGGCACAGTCCTGCTAGGAGCTTGAATGTTCTTTCGGTTTCTAGTGCTAATTGTCTCTGTAGTCCATCCTGATCCCTCTACTCAGCTGCTGCCACCTCCATTTAAGTCCAACTCTTTTTCTTTTTTTTCCTCTCTTTTAAAAATCAAGTCCACTTATGTCATTACTGTTGGCAAACTTGAATATCTGGATCCATCTGCCAATTCCATAGCATAGTACATGTGCAGAGAAGTGGAATTGATGGGTGGCAGTTATAAAGAGATTGATGTGGATTGGATATCATACTTTGTAGCAGTTAGAGAAATCTGACAGTGGAAAAGGCTGCCTATAAAGTAGTTAAGTTGAGGCTGGATGAAGGAATCAAAGCCAAGCTTAGTGGGAATCTATACTTTGAATGCAGGCTGGACTGAATGATTTCTAAGGTTTTAAAAACTTTAAGATGCTTTGTCTGTTGAGGAAACACATTTTGGTATCATTTCTGTTTCAAATTGAGAACAGTGGTTTCCATTTTTTCGTATCCTCTAAGAGGTTTCCCAGTTAGTAGATTTGGAAGTTCTGGAGCTGAAGCTGATACATGTCCATGCTGGTTGCTGCTGCCATTGCTGTTCCTACTGTTTGTAGATTCTTAGCTGGGAGGGGAGCACAGGTGGCAGTGGTTCTCTTCGCTCTTTCTCTTCAGGGACTTCTTTATCAAGAGCTTTCTCCTCCTGAGACTTCAGAGATAATAAAGGAAACTCTTTCTAACCAGAAACTGGAGCTCCTGACCTACATGTTGAGTCTTAATTATTCATTAGGCTGTCTTTCTATTTATATATTGTTTTGGCATCTGTATTCAACAGGAATTATTCTTATGATGGTCTAGTTTTGGAGGCCGAAGACCCAGAGAACACCTTTTTAATACTATCATGGTTTCTGACCCTGTAACTTGGTTACTCAGGTCTAATTAAAGTCTGAATTTATATTTATATTTATAAATTTAAAGATGAATGCCTTTGAGGAGAGGGGCTGAACCTGGAAGGCATTCTTGAAAATCATTAAAGAGAAACATAATATTAATTGTTCTATAGTATATGGATTCATGATTTTCTTTGTTTATGCCTTGTTCTGAGACCTTGCTCTTGCTCTTTTTCCTTCTTTTAGTGGAAAAGACATTTTATCCCCTAATAAAGGAAATATATTTGAATCAGTTCTTCCAGACTTCAAGCAATGGCAAATGGTAAGACCTCCTAATAAACAGCTTGGTAATCAAAATGCTGTTTGTAAACTTGCTGCTCCCTACCTATAACTGAGTCACATCTGATCCTTTAAAAATGCCATACTAAGTTTTATGAAAGACAAGGAAAACAGCAGGGGCTTTTAAAAATCTCTTAAATAGTTTATTTTCAGTTCTATTTCAGATTTTGGGTCAAATAAAGTTAGGCTGCCAGAAAAAAATTGGGAAAAGATACTTGGGTGGCAGTGAGGGTAGCTCTGATTCTCTTATCTGGTTGTCGGATATAAGTAACATTTGTGCCTTTCCTGTACCTGGCTTTTGTCTTAAGGACAAATTGGACTTCTAAAATTAATAATGTCTTTTTAAAAATTATGGTATAATAAATATAACATAAAATTTACCATTTTAACCTTTTTTGTGTGTGTGTGTGAGGAGATCAGCCCTGTGCTAACATTTGCCAATCCTCCTCTTTTTTTTTTTTGCTGAGGAAGACTGGCCCTGGGCTAACATCTGTGCCCATCTTCCTCCACTTTATACGGGACGCCGCCACAGCATGGCTTGCCAAGCAGTGCGTCAGTGCGTGCCCGAGATCCGAACCGGCGAACCCTGGGCCACCGCAGTGGAGTGTGCGCACTTAACTGCTTGCGCCACCAGGCTGGCCCCCATTTTAACCATTTTTAAATGTACAGTTCAGTGGCCTTAAGTACATTTACATTGTTGTGCAACCATCACCACTATCCATGTCTGGAACTTTTTCATTTTCCTGAACTGAAACTCTGTACTCATTAAATAATAATTCCCAATTTCCTCCTCCCCCCAGCCCCTGGCAACCACCATTCTGCTCTCTGTCTCTATGAATTTGACTATTCTAGGCACCTCATATAAGTGGAATCATATAGAATTTGTCATTTTGTGACTTATTTCCTTCAGCATAATGTCCTCAGTGTTCATCCATGGTGTAGCATGTGTCAGAATTTCCTTCCTTTTCAAGGCTGAATAATATTCCATTGCATGTATTAACCACATTTTGTTTATTAATAACATCTTTTTAAAAGGTTAAATCTTTGAAAATAGGTTTCATTAATCAAATTATTATCCTGTTATAGTAGTCTGACCAAGAAAAATATATAAGATGTTGAAACACCTCCAAAGTGAATATCAAACTCATGATCTGATAAAATCTCATACAGATCCCAGGAAACCACTTTCTTTTCTTTTGGAATGACTTGAACAGAATATTCTCAAAATTGAAAATGTTTGTTGTTCCTATATACAATATAGCTAATTTAGTGACTTTTTTACTGTTTATCTGGCAATTCTGACATTGCATAGATAAAATTGAAAAACAGTCATGCTTCTTTATTTAGTAGGAATAATAATAACTTTCATTCATTGAGCACTTACTCTCTCAGGCTGTTGCTCTTCATCCATTATCTTACTTACTCTTCATGGCAGCCATTTGATGTAGATTGTATAATCCCCATCTCACAGATGCAGAAATTGAAGCTCAGAAATGTTAAGTAACTTGCCTAAGTTATCGATAAATGGTAAGTGGCTGAGTCAGAATTTGAGTCCAGGTCTCTCTATTTTCAAAATCTTTACTCTTAATTGCTCTGCTACATTGCTTCCCTATACTGATTACTTTTATTCAAGAGTGGGTGATTTTTTTCCATTATCTGAGTCACAAGTGATGGCAAACTTTATATATAACTGCACTTTAATTTTTCCACAAATATTTTTTGATATGTATAGGACTTGGACTTGGGGTTAACAGACAAATGAAACACACCCTATACATTGTAGGAACTTTCCCAGTCTAGTGGGGATCACGTCAACAGATATATTATATCCTTACCGAAGCAAATAGTAATTAAACATGCTCAGCTCTCTAGGACTTAATTGCCTGTCACTGATTTTTTACCCTCATACAATTTAATATAATGATTTTCATCCTCGTAAACGAGGGGTTATCTTATAGGGTATCAAAATTAATTTAAATTCACTTTAATTTTAAAAATGTGTGTCACGTTTCAAGAAGAAATGGTATTAACAAATAATAATAGGATATGCAGCTCTAAAATAATTGGGAGTCACTGGGAAATAAAGATCTGGGTAGACTGATGAAATCATTAGTGAATAAAGTGCTAATTTCCTCACCCCTCTTTCACCTTCTAGATGCTGAATGAAGATAAAGACAAGTTTGCTGGGGATCTTCTAGTGTCAAAATATGATTCTCTCAAGATTATTAAACATTTACAGGAAAACTGGACAGATATTGGGCTTGGGATATTTGGTCGCCATAAAAGTATGGAGGGGGAGATGCCACCAGAGCGACAGCACATGGAGGAAATTGTGAAAAGCATAGGAAGACTCTACAAAGAATTTGAAATAAGAATAAATGGGGATAATGGTAAGAAAAAAACAATAATGATTAGATTGCTTGACCTTATAAAGAATTTCAACAGTAATTATTATTTTCAATACAATTAATATTTAAAATCAAAATAACATGCATATAGTTTTAAAAATCAAGCAAAATAAAGCATTGAGCATCAATGTATTGAGATATAATTCATCTACAATACATTTCACCTACTTAAAATGTACAATTTGATAATTTTTAGTATATTCACAGATGTGTGCAACCATCACTACAGTCAATTTTAGAATATTTTCATAAAAAGAAATCTCGTACCCTTTATCTATCACTCTTTTATCCCCTTGTCTGCACTCCAGTCTTAAGTCTGTTCTTTGTCTCTAAAGATTTCTCCATTCTGGACTTTCATGTGAATAGAATCATATAGCATGTGATCTTTTGTGACTGACTTCTTTCACTTAGCATAATGTTTAAAAGGTTCATCTATGTTTCGGCATGTATCAGTACTTCATTCACTTTTATGGCAGATAATATTCCATTGTATGTATATATCACATTTTGTTTATCATTTCATCCATTGATGGACATTTGGGTTGTTTCAACTTTTTGGCTATTATGAATAATGCTGATATAAATATTTGTTTACACATTTCTGTGTGGACGTATGTTTTCATTTCTCTTAGATGTATACCCAGGAGTAGAATTGCTGCATCATTTTATATACCACCAGCAGTGTATAAGAGTTCTGATGTTTCTGCATTCTTGCCAATGTTTGTTATCTGACTTTTTTTTTTAATTATGGTAACATTGGTTTATAACATTATATAAATTTGGGATGTACATCATTATATTTCAACTTCTCTGTAGATTACATCATGTTCACCACCCAAAGACTAATTACAATCCATCACTACACGCATGTGCCTAATCACTCCTTTCACCCTCTTCCCTCCCCCCTTCCCCTCTGGTAACTACCAATCCAGTCTCTGTCTCTATGTGTTTGTTTGTTGTTGTTTTATCTTCTGTTTATGAGTGAGATCATACAGTATTTTACTTTCTCCCTCTTACTTATTTCACTTAGTGTAATACTCTCAAGGTCCATCCATGTTGTCACAAATGGCCAGATTTCATCCTTTTTATGGCTGAGTAGTATTCCATTGTGTATATATACCACATCTTCTTTATCCATTCCTCCCTTGATGGGCACCTAGGTTGCTTCCAGGTCTTGGCTATTGTGAATAATGCTGCAATGAACATAGGGGTGCATATATCTTTATGCATTCATGTATTCATGTTCTTTGGGTAAATATCCAGCAGTGGAATAGCTGAATTGTGGTTCTATTCCTAATTTTTTGAGGAATCTCTATAATGTGGAAGTCTTTTCCGTAGTGGCTGCACCAGTTTGCACTGCCACCAGCAGCGTATGAGAGTTCCGTTTTCTCTACATCCTCTCCAACACTTGTTATTTCCTGTCTTGTTAATTACAGCCATTCTGATGGGCGTGAGGTGATATCTCATCGTAGTTTTAATTTGCATTTCCCTGATAGTGATGTTGAACATCTTTTCAAGTGCCTGTTGGCCATCTATATATATTCTTTGGAGAAATATATGTTCAGATCTTTTGTCCATTTTTTAATTGGGTTGTTAGTTTTTTTGTTGTTGACATGTGTGACTTCTTTATATATTTTGGATATTAACCGCTTATCAGATGTATGGTTTGCAAATATCTTCTCCCAATTGTTAGGTTGTCTTTTTGTCTTCTTGATGGTTTCATTTGCTGTGCAGAAGCTTTTTAGTTTGATGTAGTCCCATTTATTTATTTTTTCTACTGTTTCCCTTGCCTGGTCAGACATGGTACTTGAAAATATGCTGCTAAGACCGAGGTCAAAGAGTGTACTGCCTATGTTTTCTTCTAGAAGTTTCATGGTTTCAGGTCTTACATTCTTTAATCCATTTTGAGTTAATTTTTGTGTATGGTGTAAGATAATGATCTATTTTCATTCTTTTGCGTGTGGCTGTCCAGTTTTCCCAACACTATTTGTTGAAGAGACTTTCCTTTCTCCATTGTGTGTTCTTGGCTCCCTCATCAAAAATTAGCTGTCCATAGATGTGTGGTTTTATTTCTGGGCTCTCGATTCTGTTCCATTGATCTGTGTGTCTGTTTTTGTGCCAGTATCATGCTGTTTTGATTACTGTAGCTTTGTAGTATATTTTGAAGTCAGGGAATGTGATGCCTCTAACTTTGTTCTTTTTTCTCAGGATTCCTTTGGCTATTTGGGGTCTTTTGTTGTTCCATATAAATGTTAGGATTCTTTGTTCTATTTCTGTGAAAAATGTCATTGGAACTTTGATAGGAATTGCATTGAATCTGTAGATTGTGTTAGGAAGTATGGACATTTTAACTATGTTAATCCAATACAAGAGCACTGAATATCTTTCCATTTCTTTGTGTCTTTTTCTATTTCTTTCAGCAATGTTTTATAGTTTTCAGTGTACAGGTCTTTCACCTCTTTGATTAAGTGTATTCCTAGGTATTTTATTCTTTTGGTTGGAATTTTAAATGGGATTGTATTCTTAATTTCTCTTTCTGCTACTTTGTTGTTAGTATAGAAATGCAACTGATTTTTGTATGTTGATTTTGTATCCTGCAACTTTACCGTATTCATTTATTATTTCTAAAAGTTTTTTGGTGGATTCTTTAGAGTTTTCTATATATAAAATCATGCCATCTGCAAATAGTGACAGTTTCACTTCTTCCTTTCCAATGTGGATCCTTTTTATTTCTTTTTCTTGCCTGATTACTCTGGCTAGGACTTCCAGTACTATGTTAAATAGGAGTGGTGACAGTGGACCCCCTTGTCTGGTTCCTGTTCTTAGAGGGATAGCTTTCAGTTTTTCACCATTGAGAATGATATTAGCTGTGGGTTTGTCATATATGACCTTTATTATGTTGAGGTACTTTCCTTCTGTACCCATTTTATTCAAGATTTTTATCATAAATGGATGCTGGATCTTGTCAAATGCTTTCTCTGAATCTATTGAGATGATCACATGATTTTTATTCCTCACTTTGTTAATGTGGTGTATAACATTGATTGATTTACAGATATTGAACCATCCCTGCATCCCTGGAATAAATCCCACTTGATCATAGTGTATGTCTTTTTAATGTATTGTTGTATTCGATTCGATGTTCATCAGTGATATTGGCCTGTAATTTTCTTTTTTTATGTTGTTTTTGTCTGGTTTTGGTATCAGGGTAATGTTGGCTTTGTAGAATGAGTTAGGAAGCTTCCCCTCCTTTTCAACTTTTTGGAAGAGTTTGAGAAGGGTAGGTATTAAGTCTTCTTTGAATGTTTGGTAGAATTCACCAGGTAAGCCATCTGGTCCTGGACTTTTATTTTTTGGGAGGTTTTTGATTACTGTTTCGATCTCCTTACTGGTGATTGGTCTATTCAAATTCTCTATTTCTTCTTGATTCAGTTTTGCAAGGTTGTATGATTCTAAGAATTTATCCATTTCTTCTAAATTACCCAATTTGTTGGCGTATAGCTTTTCATAGTATTCTCTGATAATCTTTTGTACTTCTGAGATGTCCGTTGTAATTTCTCTCTTTCATTTCTGATTTTATTGATTTGAGCCTTCTGTCTTTTTTTCTTGGTGAGTCTAGCTAAAGGCTTGTCAATTTTGTGTATCTTGTCAAAGAACCAGCTCTTAGTTTCAATGATTTTTTTCTATTTTTTTAGTCTCTATTTCATTTATTTCTGCTCTGATTTTTATTATTTCCTTCCTCCTACTGATTTTGGGCTTTTTTTTCTTTTTCCAGTTCCTTTAGGTGCATTGTTATATTGCTTATTTGAGATTTTTCTTGTTTGTTGAGGTAGGCCTGTATTGCCATAAACTTCCCTCTTAGAACCACTTTTGCTGTATCCCATAAATTTTGTCATGTTGTATTTTCATTTTCATTTGTCTCCAGGTATTTTTTTATTTCTACTTTGATTTCTTCATTGACTCAGTCGTCACTCAGTAGCATTTTGTTTAATCTCCATATATTTGCAGCTTTTCTGATTTTCTTCCTGTAGTTGATTTCTAGTTTCATACTGTTGTGGTCAGAAAAGATGCTTGGTATTGTTTCAATCTTCTTAAATTTATTGAGACTTGTTTTGTGGCCTAATATGTGAACTATCCTGGAGAATGTTCCATGTGCATTTGAAAAGAATGTGTATTCTGCAGTTTTTGGATGGAATGTTCTGTATATAACTGTTAAGTCAAACTGGTCTAATATGTCATTTAAGGCCTTTGTTTCCTTATTGATCTTCTGTTTGGATGATCTATCCATTGGTGTATATGTTAAAGTCCCCTACTACTATTGTGTTGCTGTCTATATCTCCATTTATGTCTGTTAATAATTGCTTTATATATTTAGGTGCTCCTCTGTTGGGTGCATAGACATTTAAAAGCATTATATCCTCTTGTTGGATTGTTCCCTTTATCATTATGTAGTGCCCTTCTTGGTCTCTTGCTACAGTTTTTGTTTTAAAGTCTATTTTGTCTGATGTAAGTATTGCTGTCCTAGCTTTCTTTCCATTGCCCTTTGCATGGAGTATCTTTTTCCATCCCTTCACTTTCTGTTTGTGAGTGTCTTTAGGTCTGAAGTGTGTCTCTTGTATGCAGCATATTTAGGGGTCTTGATTTTTTATCTAATTGGCCACCCTATGCCTTTTGATTGGAGCATTTAGTTCATTGACATTTAAAGTGGTTATTGACAAGAATGTACTTATTGCCATTTTGTTACTTTTTTTCTGGGTGTTTTAGTAGTTCTTCTCTGTTCGTTTCTTCTTCTCTTGCTCTCTTCCCTTGTGGGTTTTTTTTTTCTTTTTTGCTGAGGAAGGTTGACCCTGAGCTAATGTCTGTTGCCAATCTTCCTCTTTTTGGTGAGGAATATTGGCCCTGAGCTAACTGTGCCCATCCTCCTCTATTTTGTAGATGGGATGCTGCCACAGCATGGCTTGATGAGCAGTATGTAGGTCTGC